GGGGCGGCCCCGCGCTGCGCCCCCGCTCGGGAACGAGCTGATGCCGCCCCGGCCCCGCACGCCCCCCCCCACCCAAGGAAGGCGGGCGCGACCCCCGCAAGCGCTTGGCGCCGACTAGAGCAGCCTGGGGTCGGTCTCTGGCCCCGCAATCGCACCAGCAGCCCCAGCGCTGCACCGGGAGCGCGGAGACGCGCGTCTGCTGAGCAGGCTTCCCTCCACCCGCGCAATCAGTTCAGGTTGCAGCAACCCAAATCCAGGCTGGACATCAGGAAGAGCTTCCTCCCTGTCAGAGCAGTACGGCAGTGGGACCAGCTGCCTGGAGAGGTGGGGGGCTCCCCCGCACTGGAGCCATTCAAGGCGAAGCTGGACAGCCCTCTGCGTGGGAGGGTGTAACTTGGGGTCCTTCACCAGCAGGGGGTTGGACTTGATGGCCTTCATGGGTCCTTCCAACTCTACCATTCTGATTCAGGGCCTCTTTCCTGCATCTCCCCACAATTGTACCTCAGGGTTCTAGTGTTCTGAGAGAGAGAGAGAAAGGTGTCCGCTTCCTCCACACCACACGTAATGTCAAAACCCTCTTCCATTTCTCTCCTTCCTTGCCCTTTTTCTTAACTGAAACGCCACCCATGCTGCTACCAGCCCTCACAGAGGAGGTGCTCCAGTCCCCCCCCCCCCGTTTGTTCTGGTTTCCACTTAAGCATCTAAACAGCCCGAGAGTCGCTTCCTGGCAATGCTGCAACCAGAACTGTACTCGGTATTCTGACTTTGGCTGCACAGTAGATTTGTATAAACACACTACAATTCGGACAGTTTTACTATCCTTCCTTTTCTGAATTATTCCTAGCACAGAATTTGACAGTCTTGCAGCTGACTTTTTCTTCCTTCAACCTTCCACCAAGACTTCATGGTCCTATTGACCTGACCATTTTGTGTCGGTTTATCCAGTTTTGGAAGCAGCCCTCGAAGCGCTTCTTGGCCTTGGCTTGAGGTGCCCCGGACACTCCGGCAGTGTGTGCAAACTCCCCCACTGTTTTGCTCACCCTGACTGAAAATTACTTAGCCATGATCCCAGTACCTGTACCATGTGCATTTCTTATCTTTTTTTTTGGGAGGGGGGTTAAAATGCAGATTGTATTTGCATGTGTGTGTGAGTGAGTGCATGATGGGAATAGGGTGAGAGTGTGGGGGGGATTTTGGCTTTTCCCACATACTTTCGATGCATCAGTGGGGTTTTCCTGCATATTTGAGCAGGAGAGCACCCTTCACCCCCTGCTCTGTTCCGTGCCCTTTCTGCTCCTCATATCAGCCCCCGTGTGATGCAAGTTGCATTTAAAAACCTGGGCAGATGCAAAGATCCCTTTCACTTGGCAGTTTGGCCCTGCTTTTACCCCAGCAGCTTTGGCAGAGGAAAGGTTGGTGCTTATCCAGAGCTCACACCAGGATGCTTGTTGCTGCTGCAGCGCAGCCGACCTGCCTTCTCGGCCTCGGCTGCCCTGGAATTACGCCTGGTGCAAACCCCCCCTTCTTTCGGTTGGAACAGAGGTGGCGAGCGCTTGGGGGAGCCAAGGGGGCCCGATGGCGACAGCTTAGCTCATGGGGCCGAGGGGCAACCCGGACACCCGCTGCCACTTTTCTGCGGTGGGCAGGGCTGGTCCTCCCTCCAGTGCATCCCCGGCAGTCGCTCATCCATTCCAGACTGCCTTGCGCCCTCCCCCTGGGGCACGTGCTCTCCCCCGGCCCTTCCGTCTCCCACTGCCCTCCTGCAAAGCTGCGTGCGGCCTGAGTGGTGTGGCTGCCTGGCCACCCTCCCCCAAGAGGCCCAGCCAGGCCCCTCTGGCAAGGCGGGGGGGGGGGGGGGGCGCATGCCGCATCTGGCAGGCCAGGATGGAGCTCTGCCTCCTCTGTGCCAGTGCTGCTGGAGCATTTTGCTGGAGAAAGAAGGGACCCTTCCCCCGTCCCTGCCGTGTGCGTTCCCAAATAAGGGAATGAGCCGGTCGGTCTCCGGCCTCCTCCGAAGCCTCTGGGAGAGAGGAGCGTTGCTCCGGCAAGCACCGGGATAAATGGGTGCGCCTGCACTTCCTCATACTGGCGGGGCGGGGGGGGGGGGCGGGCAAAGAGGCAGAGGTTGCCCTGGCCTCTGATCCCCCACCTCCTCTCTGGCCTTTCCCGTGGTGCTGGGATGAAGGGGAGCGTCTTCAGCTTCCCAGCTGCCTGTCCCGTCCCCCCCCACCGTGGTTGGCACAGACAGGCAGGGCAGATAGAGCCTCATTGATGGGAAGGAAGACAATGCGGGGGAGCAGAGCGGGGAGGGCAGCCGGATGAAAGGCCACTGTGTGCCCCTGCCGGGGGACGCTGCCAGGCCCAGGCCCCATGGCGGGGCCCGTGACTGGCCGCCGGGCTTGGCTCCGTGGCTTCCTTGGGTTCAGTGGGACTGCCCAGGCCACATGGATGGTCAGCGGGCTGGACAGACTCGCGAAAGGATGGCTGTGGAGCGAAGGCGCCGAGCCGAAGGAGCCCTGCTGAGCAGGCGGCTCCCCTGAGCACAGCGCTCGGAGCGGTGAAGCTCCTCCCAAGGGCGGGTGGGGGAGCCCGCCCTGCACACCCCTGCCAGTGAGGCCCAGCCCCTCGCGGGCCCCTGTCCAACCCAGAGCCCCCCCCACCAAGAGGAGGGACACCCCCCCCAGCCCCGCTGTGAGAAGGCGGCAGCCCCGGACCAGGGTGGTCTGGCGCGGGCTTTCCTGGCGTTCGGCTGCAGAGATGCAGGAATCCTGGGCGCTGCCCTCCAGGCCGAGGCCAAGCTGCGTGCAGCTGTTGATCCCGGGCTGTAAACAAGCTCTGCGGGGAGGGGCCCTCGCGCGGAGACGCCCCACCACCCAGCGAGCAGAGGGGCAGTGCTGTCTGTGCACACACACACACACACGCATGCATGCACGCACTGCTCCGGAGGGCCCAGGGTGGGGATGCTGCCGTTCCCAACAGGGTGGCTGCTCTCCCGGCTGGGCTTGTGCTGGGGCTCAGCCTGGAATTGGAGCTGCCCTGAGCAGGGCTCCCCGGTCGATTGAGGGTGGCAGCAGGAGGTTGCTCCCCAGAGTTGCTGCTCAGCCCCACAGGCAGCATGGTTCAGACCCCCGGGGATGCCCCAAGTCGCTTGGGAGGCAGCCGGGGCTTCTCAGTCCGGCTAGCCCCATATTGGTGGCTGCTGCTGACCGCCAGAGCCCCCCCTGCAGCACGTCCATCTCCACCCAGAGATGCTGCTGGGACCAGCCCTCCGCTCTCCCGGGGCTGCAGCCATCCTCCTTGCCTCTTCTGGACAGGCAGGCCTGCCAGCTCTCCCTGCAGGGTGGGGCGGGTGAGCTGGCGGGGCACAGTGGTGAGAGTGCTCAGTGAGCGCTGCAGAGCCCCGGGTTCGAGTCCCGATCACCCGCCCAGCAGCCTGGGTGTCGCTGAGCCCGCTGGGGCCGCTCAGCCCAGCTCCCCCAGAGAGCACAGGTGGGACGAGGGTCCCGAAGGCTCTCCCGGGCTCCCTTCAGGCAAAGGCTGAGGGAGAGATGCAGCCCTTCATGCATAACGGGAGACGCGTGGGGGTCACACTCGGTGGATGGAGCAACGGCAAGAGGGGACGGCGGCAGGCAGAGCCCAGCGGTGGGTTGACCTGGCGCCTCCCGGCAGCGCCGAGGCAAACGTGGCTCACCTGCGTCAGGCGAGCCCCGCCTTCTCCAGCGGGCATCTCCCAGCGCAAGCGCTTGGCCAGAGGCCGTGGCAGGGCCACTCAGCCACAAGCGCTTTGTCCCGAAGCGCGGAGGGAGCCTGTGGGCGGCAAGGTCTCAAGAAGGGCCACCGGCGCAGCTCTCGTGGCCGGCAAGGCAGCAGCGCTGGCCGGGTGGCCTTCCCCAGAGCCCAAGCAGCTGCGGGTGGGTGGCAGCTGCCCCCTCCCAATATGCCCAGCTGAGGCAGCAGTGGAGCCAGGAGCCAGAGACAGAAAAGCTTTATTACAGGAGGCGCCCGTGGCAGAGAATGCTGCTCCCTGCCCGGCGGGTGATGCAGCGGTGGGGCTGTTAAATGCTGTCGAGGAAGGGGGAGCAGGAGCAGCTGGGCCCAGCGGGCAGCATCCTGCAGCCGTGTGAGGCTTGGAGCTGGGGGGCTGAGAGTGGCGCCGGCGGCCCCAGGCGCCTCCCTGGTGTGGAAATGAGTCCATCCCACGAGCGCAGCCGGGTCTCTGGCTGCCCAGAGTCACAGCGGTCCCTGGACTTTGGGGGCCGGCTCCACATACCCCTGGCTGGTCGGGCTTGTCCGTCGGAGGACGTGCTCTGTCCGGAGGCCCCGCAGCTTCCCAAGCAGCTCATTGATGAAGCCCTGAAGGAGGAAGAGGGGTGAGTCCTGCCTTTCCCCACAAAGCCCAGGACAAGCCACTCCTGCGGCCAGGAGGGGCCAACCCAGGCCATGGGCAGGTGATGCAGGAGACTCATGGCTTGACAGCCACAGGGGAGGTGCCCCCCCCATCTCCCAGCCCCAGCAGCTCTTTCCAAGTCTCTACAGAGCAGCTGGCAGACCACCCCCGCCCCCCAAGGAGCAGCCAGAGCCAGGAGGACACGGGGATGCCTCTCCCTGCCCCTGTGCACATAGACACCTCAGGGGCCCCCAGTAGAAGCTGCAGGCTAGTAAACAGCGAGCACCCACCTCTGTGTTGTGCTGGCACGACTCCAAGAGGCCCTGAAAGGAAACAAGTGCGAGGAACAGTGGGATGGGGCGAGGGAGTGCCTGGCTTGTCCGGTCACCCTACCCCTTGCCCTCGAAATGCGGGTGAGTATCCTCCTCAGTCTCCGATTCCCAGTTGTGCTGTGGAATCCTGCAGCCTACAAGAGGAGGCGAGCTGCCCCCTCGCCCCCCCGCCCCCGTGCTGGAGCACCAGGCCCTGCCTTTCCTCCTCGTGCAGGGAACCCAAGGCCCAAGCTGGCGTCCTTGGCCTTCCTCCCCCAATCCATTTCATGCTCACAACAGCCCTGTGACCCAAGAGGCCCTGACTTCCCCCAAGGAGCCGCCCACCTGCAGTTTCCTGGCCCTCTCCTCATCTGTCGCCATCTCCAGGAGGTCATCGATGCTCACCTCATCAGGCATTTCAGCTTCCTGCTGCAAGAGCGAGAGGATTTGGCTGTGGACTCTCTGGGCCCAGGCCATGGGGAGGCATCACGGAACGGGTTTTAAGAGTGGGGTCTGCATCCCAAGACAAGCCACACAAGGCCCCGGGGGCAGGGCTCAGCCCAGTTTGCATGCAGGAGGAGCCTGGTTCCACTTCTGGCAACATCTTCTGGAAGAGCAGGAAAGCCCATGCCTGAAACTCTGGAAGAAGCTTGCTGGGAGGGAGCCCAGTGTCAGTGGGCTAGATGGACCAGGGCGCAGCTTGGTCAAGGGCAGATCCCTCATGCCTGCGGCAGGAGGAGAGGCACCCACACGTCCTGATCTGCCAACGGCTGTTCATGGCACGCGGGCTTCTGCCGAGATGGCATGTGGGGGACCCAGAAAAGGCCGCATCAGGATTTTCGCATCTGAAGGCATGCCTAGAAGCCTTCACCCACATGGCTTCTTTGGGGGGCTGCATGGGAGCAGGACAAATGTCCAGCTGAGGGATCCCTCCAGCAGTCTCCAGACAGAGACCCCGGGACAAGGGGACCCCCCCAAGCGACTGAGCGCCTCTTCTCTGGAAGCAACAAGCCACCTCCCTCCCTGCCTCCCCCCCTCTCCCAGGGCTGCAGTGCTCCCCACAGGGGGTCTTCGAAGGTCAGGCCGGGGGGGCAAGTTCAGCGACAGAGCTGGATTCACATGTGCCGGGCCCTCCCTGATGGGCTGGGGGTCACATGCCACTCCTGCCCCTTGCTCTGAGAGACGGTGCGCGGGAGCGGAGGAGCATCTGGCCTGCGCAGGGCACCCGGGAGCAGCCCCTGCAGGCACGCAGGGGAGGCCCAGCCCGGGCAGCGCTCCGCAGCCTCCCTCGCGTGACCCCTGCAGGGTTAGCTCTCTCAGCAGCTGAGGCCGCCTCCTCCCCCCCCAGAGTCCCCTGGGATGAGGAGAGGCAGCCAGGCTGGGAACTCTCTCCTTTCATGGAAGGATCGCAGGCGCCTCTTTTACAGATAGTGCAGGAGTCCTCCCTCCCTCCCCCTGTAGGAATCCTTTCTGGGTAGCAAACACGGAGGGCTGCTTGCTCTTGCTCCCACGCAGAAAGGGCCTCCCCTCCGGGCAGCCGGCTCGCCCCTTCTCTGCAGCTTGGCGGAGCCTCTGTGCTGCTCCCTTGCTCAGGAAGCCACCAGTGGGACCAGTGGAGCCAACCCATCCCTCCGTCCCATGGAGCAGGCCCAGCGGCGGAGGAGGCCACTGCTCGGACAGGCCTGCCGTCTCCAGCACGGCACCACATGCCGCTAGTGAGCAGGGGCAGCACTGCCCCCAGCCCACCCCTGGCTTGCCCGAGGGTCTGGCCGGCCGTGGGGCTGTGCTCTGGCACAGCACAGCGGCTGCCGTTCCATTCCCATGGAGTGGACGCTTTCCAGGGCAGCTGGAGGTAGAGCCAGCTTTGCTGGGCAAGCAACAGATGCAAAGCAAGGAGCCCGTGCTGGGCACTGAGCAAGAGCCCAGCATGGGGGGCCAGGTGGCTGGGTTAACCCTCGGGCTAGGGGGACTGTGGAACGCTGCCCTGCACTGGCACGCTGCGGCTGCTGGAGGAGCAAAGAGCAGGAGTCTTCCCCGGGCGGCGTTGCCAGGTGTGGGCACTTCCCAAGCAAGGCTGGCGCAGCCTTTCCAGCTGCCCCGAGTCAACTTTGATCCCACCCCCACCCAGAGCATCTGGACATGGGAGGGAGGGAGGGAAGCGAAGGGGAAGGTCTAGTGTGGCCCCGGATCTGGAGGGCCTGGCAGCGAGCCCAGCCCGGGGCAGAGGGTGCAGGAGGGCACTGCTGGGTCAGCCCCGTCCATCGGGCCCTGGCGCCCGCCAAGAGCCACGAACAGCAGCGACGTGCTCCCCCACTTCGAGGGGGCTGGAGCAAGGCGCTCTCCCAGACCGCTTCGGTCAGCCAGTCAAGGCTGCAGCGCTCCAGAGGCGACCCACTGGCAAGCTGATGGAGGCCAGCGGGCCGCTCTCCGCACGTCCCGGGAACCCCCCCCCCCCCCGTGTCTGCTTCGATGCTCAGCGGCCTTCTCTGGTGCTGGGGTGCTCGAAAGCCCGCCTTCCCCTCGGGGCACCTCTCTGCCTTGCAGGACGCAGAGCAGGAGCCAACAGGTGAGGGGCCTCCAACCCCGCCCAGGGCAGATGGCGACACCAGTGCCCTCCGGGGGGCGGGGGAGCCTGCGGGAGGGGCAGGGGCTGGGCTGGGCCGGAGCCGCTCGGGCTCGGATTAACCCTGCGTCTGCGGGCGAAACCGTGGCTGGCGGGAACCGGCCTCCCCACGCGCCCCTTCGGGGAAGGGCATCTCCCGCGGGCGACGTTCGAGGCCCCGCTCGCCCGAGAGCCACCGGGCAGCCTCTCGCCCCCGGCCTCCCCGCGCCGGTCGCCGTCGTCGGCCGGCTTGTTCCCGCGACGGCTTCCAGGTCCCCGCGCCCAAGTTCGCGCAGCTTCCGACGGGGCGGACCGAAGCAGCTTCCCGCTCCCGCACCGACCGGCTCCTCTCACCCTTCCTCCGTAAAGTTCCTCGAGGCGGCTGTCGATCCATTTCTCCGTGTCGAGGCGCCGCTGCAGCTCCCGCCGGTCGTACTTGACGGTGACCCGCGCCTGGCGCCGCTGAATGCCCGGGCTCGGCGTCCTCTCCGTGCGGGTCTGCCCCGGAGACAGCCCGGAAGGGCGCGCCGGCGAAGCCCGCCCCAGGCGCCTCCCCACCCGGTGCGCCGCCATCCCGCGTCACTGCTAGACGGGGCGCCCGCAGCCCGCCGGTGCCTTTTAGCGGCCGGGCGGCCGCGGGGGCGGGGGCGGGGGCGGGGCTCCGGGCGGAGAGGCGGCCCAGCGACGGCGGCTCGACATCCCGATCCGGCGGGAGGCGGCTGCTCCCGAGAGCCCCCTCTCGGCCGTCCCCTCCATCACATCCGGCAGTGCCCCAGTTACGCAGCGAAGCGCCCCGCCGTTTCTGCCCCACTGCTGCGGCTGATGCCGGTGGGTGGCAGACCGCGTACCGGGGGCTGCACACACGCCCCGCCGCAGGAATGGCCTCATCCTTGGGAACCCCAAAGACAGCCAGCCACCCCCCTGCTCCCCCACATGCACCCCATTTGGGGCAGGTGGTGCCCGAGCCTCCGGCCGCCCACTTCCCGGCAGGCCTCCCGTTTGGCGAGCGACACTGCCCTTCCCCCTGCTGCCCACCGCCCACGCGGCCTCCGCGAGCAGAAGCAGAGCCCGGGTGAGGAGGGCTGCGGCCCCCTCCATGGAAAGGCTGCCCCTGCAGGGAGCCCCAGCGGGGCAGCCCGCTCTGATGTTTGCCAGGGGGTCCCTCCACAGGCGGGCATCCTCTGCCAGCCCCCCAGGAGCCTCTCGCCCACCTGGGCACACCTCACAAAGCATCCAGCCCGTCAGGGTCCATTATGCCCAGAGGCGGGAGTGACAGCTACCAGGGGAAAGGGAGGCCTCCGCACAGCCGGGGAAGATGGGCTTTGCTGACCCAGGCCTGACTCGCACGCGCCTCCAACGCCAGCCCAGAGCAAGAACTGGCAGCTGGGGAGGGAGGGCCAAGCCAAGCTTCCTCTGCCTGTTCCAGCCCAAAACTGACATCCACCAAGTCCGGTTCTTCCCTTGGGCAAAGGGCGCTTTGGCAGCCAGGGAGCCCTTCCAGAGCATGGGTCCCCTCTGGGGATTGGCAGCGGGACCTTTCCCTTCCGCGCCTGGAAGGAGTCTTCGAGTCTGTTTGGGGAGGGAGCCTTTCAGGGGCTGCCGACTTAGTCCTGCTTCTGTGATGAGAAGGAAGGCCCAGCAGGAGTCGAAAGGCCACCCCTCCCCCCAGCACCCAGGTGCAGCCGCCAAAAGGGCAAATGCCATTTTGGGGTGCACTAACAGAGGTATTACTTCCAATAGTGAGGGCTGATGGGAACTGCAGTCCAAGGCCTGGAGGACCACGCCTGCCTGATCCCTCCTCGAAGGCAGCCCCGCTTAGCTGCCTTGCCCAGGGGCTGGCCCATTGGAGATGGCCTCGCCCGGCCACCAGAGGCACACAGCTCTCATGCACCAAGCGCAGGCCCTTGGTCCCTCGCTTTCTTCACTTGTACTGAATCTGGGAGGAGAGTTTAATTCCTGGAATTGGGTCTTGGAATTCACACACCCACTGAGCAGAAGCATTTAGGTTTCTGAGGGGCCTGCTCCTTCCTTCTCCCCATCTCAACAGCAGGAGCAGCACAGCTAAAGGCCTAGAGGACTCACTGCACTGAAACCACCATCACCGCAGGGCACTCTGACACACAAAGTGCACACTTGTTTCTCATGGGCCCCGCCAGGGCTCCCAAGAAGACCACTGTCCTTTGCTTTGCTTCATTTCTATGCTGCCCAATAGCCAAAGCTCTCTGGCCAGTTTACAGCAGCTTATAAAAATATAAAATACAGATAAAAAGTAAAATATCATAATTTCACTACAACATTTCAAAAGCAGATCCAAGCCACTAGCTAAGAAAACTCCTGTTCAAAAGTGAACATCATGTGGCCATATGCTACTTCAAGCTGTCAAATGCTTTGCATTTATAGTCTTTCTTCTGCCGGTGAGGAACCCGTGGCAGCTTCTGAGGCAGCAGCAGTCCTGCAAGGTGAGCTGAATCTGTGATTGGGTCTGCGATTGGCCCAAAGCCATCAAGGGGAGCGTCCTGGCCAGGTGCGGGCTGGAACCTGTGTCTCTGGAGCTCACAGTTCAACAGAGGCTCCCCACCCAGCACTGAAAGAACAGCAGAGCTGGTTCCCGGCAGGCTTCACCACACTCTGGGGGACGACCCCAGAGCAGGGCCTCCTTCTGCCACCGCCAAGCCTCTGCCAGAAGTGGCAGTCAGAGAAAGGCATGGTGCGGGCTATGCTGGCCCGGCAGCTCTCTGGGGGGGAGAGGCCTCTGGCCAGGGATGGTGCCCCGCAGGGAACCCCGGCTGCCCCCCAGACCGGGTCTCTCGGCATCTGCGAGGCTCGGGAGCCAGTCTTGTGCGTGGGAGCAAGCTAGCGGGATGTGGGGGACCCGCTCCGTGCACCAGGGATCAGCACGCCCCAGCCTTTCTGGAGAGCCGACCTGGGCCAGGCGAGGGTCAGAGGAGCGGTGTGAACCGGGCGCCGGGAGGGAGGCTGCCTGGGACAGAGGCTGGGTTCTCCCTGCCTGCCTGCCCCCAGGAAGCACGTCCACAGAGGCGTGTTTCTCGAGATGCAGGCGGACCAGGCCGCTCTTGCATGGAAGGCGCGCTCCTGGCCCTCCCTGAATGCAGTCTGCTCGGGGGGGGGGTGAGCCGAGGACCGGGGCCACAGCAGCTCGTGTCGCGGGCGGGGCGGGAGCAGCCTGCGCCGCTGACGCGAGGCGCCTTCTCCACCAAGCTGCCTCCGCGCCGGCGGCGGCCGGTCGGCGCAGGCCGGCAAGCACGGGAGGCCGCCGCCACCGAGCGCCGCGCAGGCAGCGCGCTTGCCGGGCCGGGCG